CGAGACCCTCTCGGAGTAGACCTTCCACAAATGCGACCATCGTTGGAGACTCTTTCTCCGCACCCTCCGGAACCCCGTAAATTCTCACATTCTCGCGTCTGGAGCGACCCTCCAAGTCCGTTAGTATGTCCTCTAGCTCCCGTGTAGCTTTAGCATCTCCGTCAGACTTCTTCTGTGTTTTGAATCCTCCTCTGCTTTCTCGATTCGACCTTCCGCTTCATCCATTCTGGTGTTCACTTTCATAATTTCTTCTTTAATTGTCTCTAGTTGGGGGCGGCAGTAGCTCAGTCTGTAGGGACTTGGGTTGGGAATCAGATGGTCACTGGTTCAAGTCCTGGCACTTACCAAGTCCAGAAATTGGCCTGGTAGCTGTAGAGGTGCCTGAGCACTGCCAAGGTGCTTATGTTGTCGCGCCTCGTCTCCTTCACCACCCCTGCTTTTTACTAATTTACTGCTCGGTATCTTGGTAGGTATCTCGCTCCCTCGCTTTATGCTTTTAGTTAGAATGTTCTTCTCTGTTTATATGGGAGTATTACTCTAATTACTCTGGTTCAGTTGGGAGCTCCTTCCTATGCGACCATCATGACGGTGTTCCGACCGGAAGTCCATCAATTAATTCATTTTTTAAAGCATTCATTGACTCTTCTGTCCGTACTCTTCTGTACTTGACTGTACTCTCCTGTTTTTCCCTCTTGTAGTCGTTATTGAAAACTACAGTATAAACACTGGCAGATGGTCACTGATGTCATTGATCATTAATCCACTTATTGTATTATTGTCTATAATGTTTGTAAATATGTTGTCAATCAATGTGGCACAGTGAGATGTAATCCTGCTGGGTCTGTGATTTTTGGATAGAGGCTTAGACTGTACATTGTATTGATAAAGTCTTCAGTTGGTTTGTGGTTATTGGGATTAAGCAGATCTATATTAAAATCCCCACAGATGAACATGACCTTTTGATTAGATATTGTGAACATTTCTTCCACCCATTCTTTGAATATATCAATATTGGAACCCGGTGCTCTATAAATACAGCTAACAATTACGTTCTTCTTTTTTTCCATGCAGATTTCAACAGTTAAACATTCTAATAAATTTCCGATTGCAGTTGTCATTCCATCTACCACCTTGCAATTAAGGTTTTTGTCCACATACACAGCCACACCTCCTCCAGTCTTGTTCTCTCTGTTCTTGTAGTTAAGTTCATAGCCATCTAATTCAAAGTCCACACCCTATTCAGGGTTGATCCAAGTTTCTGATATTGCAATTATGTTAAATGGTTGTGCAAATTGACGTAAATATTCCTTAAAGTTGTGAAAATTTGCATACAGACTTCTACTGTTAAAATGAATGATTGATAGTTTCTGATCTGCCTTAATGGTCTTATTGTACTGTTCATCTGTGTAATAGCTGCAGTCGTCATTGATGTTTAAGAAGAAGTTATTTTCCGGGTCGATATTGTATTCCATGTCTTGTAAATTGTGCTCCGTGTATTCAAATGTTTTCAGTTCCAGATTCTCATTATCAGCAATCATTTGGGTTATAGGTATAATGTCTCCAGATGTAGATGAATGATTTCCTTTAGAGTGTGTCACGATTGTATAGGTTTTTTACTCACTTGTGTTTCCAATTCGGCCTCACTGGAAATTGTCCAGCTCTGCAATGTCTCTGATCACCATCACTTTGGCCTCCTCCGGTGTTCCGTTAAGCTTTAGGAAGATTTTGCAGTTGTTGGTCCACGTGGATTGTATTTTATTTTGTTTCTTGATGAATCGTGCTTGCCTGGCTATATCTGCATTTCGTTTTGTTAAGTGTTCATTGATGTAGACGTCTGTCCCCTTCAGCTGCCTGCCTTGTTTCAGTAGTGCAATTTTGTGTTTACGGTTCACAAACCTCATTATTATGGCCGGTTTGTCTGTGTTGTTTTTGCGGGGCAAAGGATGACAAGCCTCGATGGTGTTACAGTCAAAGTCGATTCCCTTTGACTGTAGGAATGCTGCCACTTGTTGCTCCGAGGACTCGGAGACTGCCTCTGGTTCGCCGTCACGGTCAGCGTCACTGCCTGTGCATACGACCGGGGTTTTATTTTGAGCCCCGATATAATAATATCGTTCATTCTGGTGTATTGCTCCAGGTCGGCCACTCTGCTCTCCAGGAACACGATCTTCTTGTCCTCGTTCTCCAGCCTCAGCGCCTTAACCTCGGCCACCAGGTCCAGGATGGATTTCTGCTGCAGCCTGACAGCGGTAATCTCCCCCGAGAGAAAGTCCAGCGACTTCTTAATGTCGTCGACTTCCTCCATCGCCGGTTTTTTTTCGGCATGGTGACTCTGGCTTGTTGCCAGCCGGCTTTGTCCAAGTGCAAGCTAACCAAAGAGTGCCTTGGCCTGGCCTGGTGGAGCTGGCTGCTGGTTAATCCTGGGCCTGGCCTGGTCAACATATTGATGTATTTTCTGCCAAAGTCAAAGCTTTAGTTTTAAAGAGCCCATATTATGCCCTTTTTGGGGTTGGTATATTTAATCTATGTACTACTAAAGTATGTTCACAATAGCTAAAGTTCTAAAAAAAAGTGTCTGTTTTCATGTATGCTGCTCCATGCACGGCTCGCTTCTGACTCTCTCTCTAAGGCTCTGAAGTGCCCACGTTCAGAGTCCCCACATGTGCCAAGTCTGATCTGATTGGTCGGCCTGTCGGCTCTGATGCTGTGATAGGTCAGTCGCTCACTTTGGCTCCGAGGAGAGCATAAACATTAGCACCATAGCATAATAATAATATTTCCTCTGGGAAATATTATGAGGAAACACTCCATACAGTTTCATTGTTATGCAGATGATACTCAGCTTTATGTATCAATGAAGCCCGATGGCACCAGTCAGTTATGTCAGCTAGAAACGTGCCTTAAGGACGTTAGGACCTGGATGACCAGAAAGTTTTTGCTACTTAACTCAGACAAGACTGAAGTTATTGTGCTAGGCCCTAAGAACCTCAGAGAGACTTTTTCTAGTGATTTGACTGTCCTTAGTGACATCAGCCTGGCATCTAGCACCACTGTTAGGAATCTAGGAGTTTTATTTGATCAAGATATGTCCTTTACCTCTCACATCAGGCAAATTTCAAGAACAGCCTATTTTCACCTTCGTAATATATCCAAGATCAGGAATATCCTGTCGCAAAATGATGCAGAAAAACTAGTTCATGCATTTGTTACCTCCAGATTGGATTATTGTAACTCTCTTTTGTCAGGGTGCTCTGGTAAGTCTCTAAAGACTCTTCAACTAGTCCAGAATGCTGCAGCTCGTGTACTGACTAGAACTAGGAAAAGGGACCACATCACTCCTGTGTTGGCTTCTCTGCACTGGCTCCCTATACAGTCTAGAATAGAATTCAAGATCCTTCTTCTCACTTACAAAGCTCTAAATGGCCAGGCACCATCTTATCTTAAGGAGCTACTAGTACCATACTGCCCCTCGAGAACATTACGGTCCCAGAATGCAGGCCTACTAGTGGTACCTACAGTCTCTAAGTGTACTATGGGAGGTAAAGCCTTCAGTTACCAGGCTCCTCCTCCGGGGTCCGGGAGGCAGACACAGTCTGTATTTTTAAGAATAGACTTAAAACTTTCCTTTTTGATAAATCTTATAATTAGGGCTGGTGTAGACCAGCTTTTAGTTATGCTGCTATAGGCTTAGACCACCGGGGGAACTGGCACCTTGAGCTCCTCTCTCTCTCTCTCTCTCTCTCTCTCTCTCCTTCTGTGCACATACAGTACATCATATTACTGCATGTATCTATCTGTAAATCTCAGTCACTAACCACCTACTTTCCTGGGAGCTCTTGAGCTCTCTTAGGCTCCTCAAGATCGTTGGTTGACGGCCTGCCAGAACAGCTACAGCCAACAGGAGGACGTAGGAGAAGCCTCATTTACAGACTTTGAATTTTTGCAAATAGATGTGCCTAAACATGCACAGGACACTTGGAAAACACACTAAAGAGCATATAAAACCAGAAAAAGCATAATATGGGACCTTTAAAGTATTGCTTTAGTTATTCCTGGACATCTTTATTTGTTATTTTACCCAGAAACTTACCTCTGTGCTTTTCCTGTGAGGGAATGTGTCAACAATCATATGAAAGGTACAGACAGCTGTGTGAACGGCGGAGTTGCTATGGAGACATCATCAGCTGCGTGAACGGCGGGAGTTGCTATGGATACATCATCAGCTGCGTGAACGGCGGGAGTTGCTATGGAGCATCATCAGCTGCGTGAACGGCGGGAGTTGCTATGGAGACATCAACCGGCTGGTTTAAAGGGGTCATATTATGCTTTTTCTGGTTTTATATGCTCTTCAGTATATAAAAATTTGTCAGTGTGACGTCTTGTCAGTGTGAGATCACTGATCGAAGCCCATTGGCTCGTTGTGGCCCTGCAGCTCATGTTGCACGCTCATTAACTTCTGTAGCACGCCCACGATATGCCGCAGCCTGCGGTAGCACAGTAGTGCTAAGGTGCTAATGCACATTAGCTTGAGCAAAAGACGCACTTGGAAAGAATATTCAGCTCTTCTCTCTGTGGAGATTCTGATGCTTCTGGAAGTTCACAACCACAACATGTAAGTACCCTTCATTAATTGTCTTTTTTATTTGTTTGAAAACAACTTTTGAGCTGCTGGATACATTAGTTCTGTGAAGGCTGTCTGTAGCTGAACTGTAAGCCTCGGCTAACATGCTAAGTAACGCTTTTTTTCTAAATTAGAGCAGTACTAAACTATTTATCAACTTTCATCTAAAGCGGTAACAGGTATAGCATTGTTAGCTGAGCTCATTTTTCAGATGAGTGTGAAAAATGAGCAATAACCAAACATTCTGAAATAGATTTTTGTTCTTAAATTACTTTTTTACAGAATATGTCGGGGACTTGATGGCACTGGTGTTGGAGGAGGTGCCAGAACCAGGAACCAGGAACCAGAACCATTCATGGAGGAGCTGCAGAAAATGCCGGACTCGAAAAAAGAAGGAGGGGTGGCTCGACACGTGTCCAGGTGTAGTCAAGGGGCGGGTGGAAGCCAACATACTGTCCAGTCGGGTCAGGAAACTCGGGGTGAATCCTCAGGACGACACACGACCGGATAACCACTCCAACCACTGCCAAGTGTCTGCACAGCCTGTAAGGAGACAATATAGATGGATGGAAAAATGTTACTTCTCATTGTATATTCACACGTATAGTTCTACACATTTAAATGTTTTTTAACCTTAGCTGAGAATAAAGAACTTTAAACAAACGATTTTCTCACTTGTTTACTTTTATTCCTCTGAAATAGTGAAACTGTTTGATTAGAATGAATTTGATTGAAGATGTAAATCATTATTTATAATGAACATACTCTTCTGCAGTTCTCTGTGATGTTCTCCTCTGAAGATGTTGTGGATGTTTTGAAGTGTATATGGGTTTAAACAGTCCTGGATGTTTTTGGTACAAGGAACAGGCAGCGGATTCATTCTCCTGATGAAAGAAGAAGATACTGATTAAAATGAAATAATGTTCAATAAGAAGGAAAATAATGACAGAGGAGGAAACATTATTGCATGAGATATTGATCCAACAAACACGTGATTATCACCTGGGCTTTTGTAGTCAAAGTAAGTCTATGATGTCATTGATACTTACAATTGCTCATTGAATTTTTAATCACATCAAGGAGGTGATATACAATGCAGAACAAGGTGAGTCGCTGCAATAAACAACGTACAGTACTAATGTAAATACAATAAAATGTATTGTACAGAACACATTTGTGGTCAATAATCATATTGTAATAAAGCCAAACTTGTGAAGCCACAAGTAAGATATATATTTTTGGATTAGGGAAATATGCTGGTAGCTCCAGTCAGTGAAATTGGAAGAGGCTAACGTATGCTGCAAAATAAATACCTACAACACTGAAACGTCGTGCTCATGCCTTCGTGGCAAAGGTTGTTGTGTTTGTTCCTCCTCTCTGTCAGATTGGTGAAGTTGCCATTTCCGTTTGCATACCGATGTTTTTGCTCCCCCTCGGAGCCAGTAGCTGCATTCCCAATATGGTAAAAGGGGCGGGACATTTCCGAGAACCGTACTGAGCGACTGACCAATCACGACAGAGCCACAGGCCGACCAATCAGATCAGACTGGGCACACGTGGGGACTCTGAACGTGGGCACTTCAGAGCCTTAGAGAGAGAGTCAGAAGCGAGCCGGTGCATGGAGCGGCAGTTCATGAAAACAGACACTTTGTAGAACTTTATCTATTGTGAACATACTTTAGTAGATACATAGATTAAATAATGAACCCCAAACAGGGCAGAATATGGGCTTCTTTAAATAAATTTGGTTTGTACAAAATAAATTAAA